GAAAAAAATTAAATATGGTACAAATATTTTTAATTTTTTATAAAATTTATTTTGGAAGTTTGAATTATAGGGAGGGACCATTTAAATATAAAGAAAATATTTGTGACTTAGATAAAGAGATTATTTGTAACTAATTCTTATAAAGACACTAATTTTATCTAAATAAAAACAAATATAAAAAAATACTTTAGATTTAGTTATATTAAATATAACTTATCTATTGACTATTTGGTTTAATTAATTTAAGATTTACGTTAGAAGGTTGACATTAGAAAAATATTGTTTAATTTCGTAATTGGAACAATTTGCATCCAAGTAAAAGTGCAAATAATATGTTTTTTTTATAGGTTTAGTCAATAAGACAGGCAATAGGATAATATAGATTAAAGTATTAATATTGTTTGGTTTAAGCTTCTACTATATTATTACAATAAAAAAAAAGTAAAAATCAAAACATCATGGTCAGTGTTGTAAAAAGTAGGCTTAGGTAGTGCCTAGATGTTGCCAAGACTCTAGGTAATGTCATTCATCCTGCATCAATTCCTAAGTAGAAATTCAAAATATGGTTTGCACTACCTAAATTAATTAAACACACCAAGACACCATTAAATGCACTTAATGATGCCTAAAGCCCCTAAGCAAATTTTTTTCTTCTTCTAACCTAATGAAACAATGTCTTTTAATTTATTATAAAAATTATATTAAAAAAATTAAATGTCAAGTAATTTCCATAAATTATGCTTTTCAAACATGATAATGAATAGATATATAAGCTTTTGAAGCCATGTCTGGACACCAAACAAGCTTCATGTCTTCTAGCTTAAAGAGGGACTCAATTGATACTTAATTAGAAAAAGAGATTAAGAAAGCTATGGTGAGAAAATCAAATGTTGGCTTTTAAATAGGTGGAAGAAGGGGATAATGCTTTTGCATTTTTTTTCAAAGGTTAAATACCCTTTTTGGTCCCTCAATTATAGGAAGAAGCCCCTTTTTGGTCCTTATACCGAAAAAATCTCATTTTTAGTCCCTAAATTTTAAAATCCGATCCCTTTTTAATCATTTCGTTAATTTTTTGCTAATGTGACAAGATAATTAACAGAAAAACTTTATTTTTTCCTTTACTTAAATTACGTGGAAAGTCTATCTAACAAAAATTGATGACATGGCTATATTTTAAATGTTATTTTGTGATTAAGAGTATTTGACTTTAATTACTAATTTACCCTCATCTTCTTCCCCCATCTGTCTTATCCTTTCCTTCCTCCAGCCTTCGCTTTTTTTTTTCTTTTTACCTTTGCCTTTTGAAAATTAGATATGGAAAGGCGAACCTAGTTGCTTGTGTTTGCTTGGTTCGTCGCAAACCCAGGCGTGGGGTTCGTCATATATTAATACTCATATATTAATAATAAATGGATGGCTGGAGCTAGGTGCGACGAAGCCAGCTCCTGGGTTCATGACAAACCCAGCAAACCCAGGCACTTGGGTTATTGTTAGTTTATTACATATATTGTCCTGTCCCCATTTTGGTTACATTTAAGACATTCATCTTTCCCAAAGAATTTCATTTTGATTTTAAGCTTAAAGCTAAAACAAACCCTCACCTATTTCCTGTGTTCAAACTAGAAATATCTCCAACGCCAAAAGAAAGAACTTCAAATCCATCTTTCTCAAGTTCTTAAAACCCTCCACAAAGGCCAAACCCAAGTATAAAAGCAAGGTATGTTGCACCCATAAGCAATAATTGTAGCGTTGAAGCTAATTTCATTTGATTCTGTTTTTTGGCTCTATTTCTTTTGTTATTTCCAAAACATAATCAAGCATTGGTTTTTGTTCTGAGATTCGATCATGGATGAGTAAATTATTAAATGTTTTTAGAAATTTTTGATGGGCTTTGAAGATTATGAGTTGTTGATTGGTAAAGTTGGATTCTTTTTGTGATTTTTTTTTTCTCAGATCTAAACAGTCCCCAAAGGTGTACTACGCCAACAACCCCCAGAGGTTCGTCGATGTCTTCTGATTCCTCCACCACCAGTGTCCATGTGATGGCGCTAGACGGGCTGGTGAACGTGAACTTGCTATTTACGATCGCTGTCTCGTGGGTTTGTCCTTGACTACACCTAGGCAACACAACCTCAGGAACCCCTTCGCCTGCGACGCTGGTATCGACGTGGTGAAGAAGCTTCTGGTCTTTGAAGTTGTCTCTTTCAGCTTCTTCCTTTTCTCCTCGCTTGTCGCCCAAGGCCTGAAGCTCGCCACCATCAATTTGCTCAACAGCAAAGATGTGGATAAAGTGTTCTGGGCCACCATTAACCAGAAGGTTTTAAGGCTTGGGATGATGGGATCCGCCGTGGGGTCAGTGATGGGGTGCAGTTTCTTAACTCTTTCGATGGTGCACGTCATCGAGAACCGGTTGGGGATGCTGTCTTGTGGGAGCAAGCTGGCAATTCATGTCATCGGAGCTCTGGTCCTTCTGGTTTCCTCTGCTCTCATGGTTTATATTTCCATTGCTTTTTATGCTTTCATGCACTGAGAAAACTGAGTGGCACTCGTCCATAAATTAATTGTACTTCCACTTCCATAAAATTGTAAATTTGTTTATGGTTTTTGTGTTTTTTTTTTTTTTTTCAAATTAAGCTTCTTAATCATAGAGGTTAAAAAATACCCATACATTAATGTTGGAACCAGGTGTGATGAAACCAGCTTCTGGGTTCGCAATGAACCCAATGAACTCAGGCTTGGGTTCCCTTTTTTACCATGTATATTAAGATGTGGGTCTCATTGATTATGGTTTTTTTCTTTTCCACACGAAGAGAGTGACGTTAAGGGTGAAGTGGAAGGTGTCATAAAATCCATGTAAGCATCTTTTACACGTTGGCATATCCACGTCAGCTGTTTTAGTTAAGTTAACGTACCACATGAGCAAAAATTAACGAAAAGATTAAAAATGAGTCGAATTTTAAAATTTAGAGACTAAAAAAGAGATTTTTTCAGTATATACATAAAAAAAAAAAGCTCTTTTTTTTTTATAATAGAGGGACCAAAAAAGATATTTAACCTTTTCTAAAAGGCATTGAATTTTGTTTGTACGGATCTTGATAATGAAATGACACGCAAGGTTGTGAAAATCGAGATTTTACTTAAAATC